CTGGGGACCAAATGTTCAAATACCTAAGCCTATAGGGATATTTCTCAGTCAAACCACCACAGAACCTTATCTCCCAATCCAATTATTTTGGATGTAAGATTTGAAGATATGAATTGGGAAGTGGGAAAATTAGAAACATTCAGCCTGTAGCACATACACTTAGAGATACCAGATTGACTGGTCAGCTAGCTAGCATGCATACCAGAGCAAAACGAGGGACGTGATTGGAGAATTCCAGCAGGATCGGACAATACTAAAGACCTATGGGTCTTGCCACTCCTCTCAAATGCAAAAGAAAGGACAGAGAATTGGGGAAAATACCTAGACAAATATAATCCTTACCAAATTTGATTTAACTGGATAGCGTGTTATGTGAGGACAAGGCATTTTTGAGTACATGAAAGAGCTTGAACCATGATGTAAAAGCAGGAAAATCAAGGAATAGATTGCCAGGTTCCTGTGGGGTACGAAGTAATTATGTTTTAGTTATTATAATCTTTGAATTATTGTACTTTCATAAATCTATTTTCCTTTACTGAGAACTTTATATTTGGACATATTTACATATAATATTTACATATGATATTTACATATCATACACATTTGGTGCAAATTCAACATCTTGAAATTTTACTTTATAATTGAAAAACAAAATATCACATATATTTAGGTTTAGAAATATGACATCTTTATATACGCTTACATTAGGAAATGGCTACATCACCTCAGCAATATATTTTTGTGTGTGTGAGATAAAAACACCAAAAACGTACTCTCAACAATGTATCATAATATAGATGATAAATAATGGATCTCTTGAACTTGCTTCTTCTAAGGAAAACTTTACGATTTTGACAAGCAACTCCCAACCCCTCCTAGCCTCTGGGATAATTTTTCTCTCCATTCTTTAAGTTTGACATTGTTATACTTTCTAAGTAAATCAAGTAGTATTCATGCTGAAAATAATTTATTTTAGTCACTAATTTATTTTATTTATTTATTCATTTGTTTTAACTAATTTATTTTAGCCCAAGTTCACCTGCATTGTCACAAAAAAAATCATTTTTTTAAAGACCAGTGGCATACCATTGGGTAAATGCAAACTTTATCTGATTATCCATTGGATAGACATGTAGATAGTTTGTGTTTCTTAGTTATCGTGAATGATACAAGGAGCGTGGCATTGCAGTGCTCTGTTTGGCGTTCTGATTTCAGTTCCCTTGGATATAATTTAGAAGTGAGGTCTGGATCACATGACACCTCCACAGGGTTCTCCATGGTGAATAAATCAATTTGCACTCTCACCAAGAATACATAAAGTTTCCCTTCCTCCATGTCTTTACCAATTCTTCTTATTGTTTATGGTTTCAATAATAACTATCCTAACAGATGTGAACTGATAAGTCATTGGGATTTTACTCTGTATTTTTGTAGTGATTTGTTATGTGGAGCATTTTGGCAAACACTTTCTGGTTATTAGTGTTTTGACTGGAGAACTGCCTAGTCTCTTGTCCATTTTAACTCTGATGGTTTTGTTTTTGAACCTTTAGTCTTGAGTTGATTTTTGCAAAGTGGTTAGTCAGTTTTCCTAGCACATTACTGAGAGAGTCCTTTCTTCGTTGTTTGTTGAAATCAATTGACCACAAATGTGTAGGTCTGTTTCTTAGCTCCCTGCTTTGTTTAGTGGAATATGTGTCTAGATTTATGTTGGTACTATACTGGTTTGTTAACTAAAATATCATGGCATATTTAAACAATCACTGAAACTGCTAAAATGTTAGTAAGAATTTAAAGATGACATAGATAAATGGAAAGATAGAAATATATTTCTGGACAGAAAAATATTGTTCTTAAAATGTCCATACAACACAAAGAAAATATTTATCAAAACTCCAAAGATATTTTCTCAGAAATAGAAAAAAGAATGATAAAATTTTTATGAAACTATAAAATATCATGGATAGCCAAAGTACCTTTGAACCATAAAGAGCTAATAGAGTTACCACATTACCTGGTTTTAAATCCTTGTAATGGTTTGAATGTGATGTAAACTTTCTATTTGAAGTATATCTCATGATAAACACTTCTGCGAAACAACACATTAAATTGTCAGCATCAACACTCAGCTTTAATTTCTGTTTTATAGATCTGAATAACTATTGATTTGTCTTAGGATAGTGCTTTCTTAAACTTTTGTCAAAAGTAAATTTTAGTTCACTGAAAGTAGAATTTGATTTTAAGCTCTTAGAACATTGCCTGTTTTGAGGAAATGATTAATAAATATATGTGGATGTTTCCATGAATTTGTAACAGTAATCGTAAAACCATCTATCACTTTTAAAAGCCGATTTGGACCAGATGTTTGTTTGTTCCTTGGCACAGCCGTGCCTGGATGTGAATTCATTTTATGATTCACAGAGTCCCCAAGGGCCCGTGGTGATAGGATTGAAACCAGGCCAATTGATGTTTTAATCCTTTCTGTCCTTCAGGAAGAAATGGAATTAAAAACTAAGTTTCTGTTGTTCAGAGTTTGTTGCACTGAGCTAAGATTATAGATAGAAAGTAGAATTAGATTTTTGCTAAATGGATTTATAATCTAAATTAGATATACAGGATAGTGACCTTGGCAAACAAAAGGTAGAAGTGGCAACTTGGTGAAAAGTCAGCAGAAACTGCAGAAGTTCAGAGATGATGGCTAGCTTGTGAGTGGTGTTTGCTGATCTTTACGTGGGTGTCGGCCTGCAAGGTCACGGTGCTGGATCTGTCTTAATCTCAGTGCATAACTCCACACACGGCACCTTGTTTACTCTGTATTTCTTCAAGATAGCTCGTATTTCACAGTGCACTTCAAACTGATAAATAATAAAAAGATTGCTCGGTACAATAGGTCTTTATGGTTTTGACCAGTTGATAGTAAATTATTAAATGATAATTTCATACATGTTAGCTAACATGAGCCAGTAATCGTTAATGTGAGTCTACACATTTTGTATGATATTGAGTATGCCTTATAAGAGAGAAAACAGAAGGCCCCCCCCAAAGTCTTAGATTTCATGCAAAAGAGCCACACATCTCCTTTCCTCCTCAGTGAATCCTTAATGAAGGGGTATTCTTGGGGACCCTGGATTAGAGACCTAAAAGCCAGTCCTGATTGTAATCACAATGTAGCAGTTAGTGTAGAGATGTAGATCGTTTGTTTAAGCAATATATGTTTCAGTGCTAGGAGCCAGATTCAGGGCTTCATGCACATTATATAAGCACTTCACCACTGAACTACACCTACACTCAGTCCTAATAAACTCAGAATACACAAAAGTAGTTGGAAAAGCTGAGCACCATGGTACACACCTTTCAGCCCAGCACTTAGGACACAGAAGCAGGAGGCTCTCTGTGAGTTCAAGGCCAGTTTGGACCACACATGGACTATACATGGCCAGGGCTATGTATAGAAAAAAGTCTGTCTCAAAACAAAACAACAGCAAAAAAGTCCTTGGGAAAGGCTGCCTGAGGTTAGACTGAAATATGTAATTGAGTGGATTTGATGACAAGTGAGTTTGGGAGTTATCTCAAGGACAGTGATGATGACATGGGAACAAGAAAGTTGTCAGGGATGAATGAGATAAATGTCTGAAGTATAGCTGGGTAGCATAAGACATAATCCATGCAGTCATGGTGTTTGACAAAGGTTCAATGTGAAGTCATCCTTTCAACTTCAGTGACAGAATGTGCTTACCAAAATAACAGGCATGTACGAGATGGAGAACACATTGACTCATGTCCAGAAGAAGACCAATCAATATACTGCTCACTTCTCCCTGCTCTAACAGACTTTGAGGACAAAATCTTCAGCCTTCATCAGAAGAACGCCATCAACTCCTCTCTTGCTGCACATCCATGACCTCAGTCACAATAAACCATGGAAAATGGCACTAATTCCTGGTTTTCTGTTGTATACTAACCTCAGCTGATCCTACACCAATGCAGCTGTATCCTGAATCAGCATAATTTAATTATGACAGAGGAAATACTTTTTAAAATTAAGACCAAATCAGAGTGTTTGCCACCACACTAAGATTATTGAACACAGTCAGCTAAGCCTGTCTCTACTCATCACTCCCTGTGATCAGATCTCTCGTCCCCTACATGTCCTTGGCATCCTCTTAAATAGTGAGGTGTGGTAATATATGCTTGCAATTTCTCCTACATGTCCTAGGACATAGAAGGTACCTAGGACATATCTGGTGAAAGACGAATAAATAAGATTTCATGATAAACATATATGAGTATAAGAATGATCACACTGAGTTTTGAGAATATGCTTGAGATTATAACATATGACAAACCATTAATTAGTATATTTATCTCGAAGGAAAATTTATTTGCCATCAGTTCTGTGGTTTAAAACCGCTTTGAAAATAGTTACTTGAAAAAAAAGATATAGTTTGAGTTCTGCTGTGAAAGCAGTAAAATTTCCTATTTTTATTTTTTGTGTGTGTTTGTGGGTTATGACATATGTATCACGGAGACCAGAAGAAGGTATCAATCAGATCCCCTGGAACTGGAGTTACAGGAAGTTATGAGTAGTCAGGTGTGGTGCTTGGATTTGAACTCAAGTCTTCTAAAAGAGCGGCAAGTGCTCTTAACCATGGAGCCATCGTTCCATCTTGACAGTAAAATATTCTAAGTTTACTGGTTCATGCTTGCATAGAGGGCAGTTAATAAAAATGCCATTATGTCTAAATCTTCCCAATCCTATTTATATTGAGAAACAGTGCTATACACTCAAGTCAAATTTTTTGTTGGTGGTGTTTAAGATAGAGGTATCATCATAATTTCCTTGATGAAAATCTATACATTTACATTTAGAAGTCCTAAGTGAGCATGTTCACAGAGAAGGATGAGGGCTGGTGAGTAAATCCGTGCTGTTTAGCAGGAGGAAGTGTGGTGCACACAATGACTCTCTTCCGACTGGTTAATGCTCAGAGGTTCTGCTTCTTCAGGTTGACAGGCTGGACGTGGAAGGCTTGTTTAGCAACATTGAATCCGTCCACCAGATATCTGCCAAGCTACTGTCCTTGTTGGAAGAGGCCACAACAGACGTGGAACCGGCCATGCAAGTAATCGGTATGTTTGTTCTTTCTTGAACTCTACAGTACAACAGGAAACAGTATTTTAATAACCCCCTGGTACTTTGGTTTTATGTTTCTGACGCACAAAGCTTCCCAGGAGATATATAAATGCCGAGTCTGCCTTCAGGTTCATTGTAATTACACAAACTCCACGTTTATCTCCAAATGGGTTTATAGCCATTTGCCGAGGTCCCTCAGTAGCACTGAACACAGACAGAATTCGCTTTTTAGTTTTCACCCTTTCAATCTCTCTGCTTTCCAGATGGTCTTTCAATTTGTTTTATGGCTGGAACTTCTTTGGTCCTTAAAAAATTAAATATTTTAATAGCTATTCTGATTTCAATCTCAATGGATTTTTTAATCTTAAATTTATAAATTTACTGATTTTAGAACTATAAATACTTTACATACAAAGTATGTGATCTCCAAAGAACTTAGACACCATCTATATTTTCAATTTTCCACTTTACTCTTTTTTCTCTTATTTTTAACTTTTTTCGTTGATTCTTTATGGATTTCACATCATGCAATCCTGATACAACTCATCTCCCTCTGCTTGCTTCTTTTAGCTGCCCTTACAGCCTCTCCCCAAAATAAAATTTAAAAATATAAACAAAAAAAATACCCAAATGGTCTCAGCTTGGAAGCTGTAATGTGACAGAGAGAGTCATGGTGTACCCATTTAGTCCATACATCTTTACTTGTAAGTGTTCATTTCAGCAAGCCATTGGTCTGGCTCCAGGCCTCTGGTTTCTTCTACATTTGGATGCTGAAATTCCTCTTGGGTATCCTGTTGTTGCTTTTGTCATGGAGATCCTGGAACTTTGGTGATGTGGGAGTGTCATATCAATCTGTTGATTTCATTGGCTGAGCAATAAAGAAACTGCTTGGCTGGCCCTCATAGGTTAAAGCATAGATGGGAGGAGAAAACAGAATAGGATGCTGGGCGGAAGAGGAAGTGAGGTCAGACTCTGCTCTGCTCCCAGAGAGACTCGACAGCTCTGCGCTCTGAAGCAGAGACGCCATGCTCAGCTCTGCCAGATAGACACAATAGCTCTGCGCTCTGAGGCCAGGATGGACGTAGGCTAGACTCTTCCCGGTAAGCGCACCTTGGGGTGCTTACACACATCATTAGAAATGGGCTAGTCCAGGTGCGAGAATTAGCCTGTAAGGGTTAGAGTTCATGGGCCAAGCAGTTCTTAAATGAATACAGTTTGTGTGTTGTTATTTTGGGTATGAGCTAGCCAAGCGGCCGGGGTGTTGGGGACGTAGCCCCGCCGCTTCCATATTTCAACACTTTGGATCTGCAGGTCTGGCCCCTTCACATGCTCCATGTGTGTATACATACATATATGTGTGTATCTATACATTTATAGTTTTTATTCTGACAAGGGTTTTTTTTGTTGTTGTTGTTTTTGTTTTTCGAGACTGGGTTTCTCTGTGGCTTTGGAGCCTGTCCTGAAACTAGCTCTGTAGACCAGGCTGGTCTCGAACTCACAGAGATCCGCCTGCCTCTGCCTCCCGAGTGCTGGGATTAAAGGCGTGCGCCACCATCGCCCGGCTTTGACAAGGGTTTTAAAAAAGAACTACAGAGAATATTACATGACAAATATTCAGCTTAGAGTCTATTCTCTTAATGTCTTCAGCATTGCAGATAACTACTTGAAGGAGTTTTATGTGTCAATACACAGTGCTGTGTAGCTTATGAATTCCTTTTAAAAATGATCATTTTGTAATTTTACATTTATTGCATGTTACAAAAGTATTAGAACAACTGAGGATCTATAGGGTAAAGATGAAGGATTGCTTGTATGCTTTTCCAAACCCATTGTCACTCCTGCAAGTGATCATTGCTGTTAATCTTTACAGAATGTCCCTTTGACACACACACACACTATCTTTATTGAATCCTCTTTTTTGTAGATATTAAAGTTATCGTTATAAAGGAACAAAATTATATTTATTTAGTATCTATACGGGTCCAAAATTCAGGGAGCAAGCTGATATTATGAAAAGGCGAATGAAAGGATTCAGTCAGGTTTCAATTCTATCCTTCCTTGTGGTTCAACATCCCCAACAAACAGTGATAATGTTTTCTTTCTCCGAGACTGTACACATCTTCCCGTTAGCAGAGATTCCCTAGCCATTCATCAGTTCATCCTCTGAATAGGTCTGGACAGCAGCATGCTTACAGAGGACGGTGCTGTGTGGTTCTGTTGGGCAGAGTGAAGTGGAAAAGATCCCCTCTGCCCCTCCTAAACTCACAGGGAACTCTCTCCTTGAAGTGAAGGTGTGTGTCTGATCCGCATCAGAGTGCTTTTGTGCTGCTACAATCCCTTAACACAGTATACAAGATACTGTATACATGTAAAGTTATTCATTATGTTTTGAGAAGTATGATCCACGTTGGGCCAAGATGTTCTTTGGAACTTTCTTTCCATTTAGCACTAATAGAAAATAGCAACACATTTAGAAAATGGTAAGGGATTAAGCTAATGTGAAGGGCTATTTGGAGGAGTAGGGAATACATCTTGGGAGGGTACTGAAGACAAATTTGAAATTCAGGTAATTCAACTTTGAATGTCATCTCTTCCACGACCTTGACTGGGTGAAATGGTGCACCGCAGTAAACTGGAATGCAGCCTATTTCCTTTCCTGGCACTTTGGTGTGCCGCATGCAGGGTGCCGGCTAATACAGTGAGGACACACGGACCTGAGGAGCTAGAAACGGCCCCGAATTGATCTGGTGGCCCTTAGAGGTGTATTTGAGGCTGCAAACCCTTCCATCCTCACCGGGTACAGCAGCTAGTTGTGCCATGGCCTGTGCTGTGTGGCATACACTATGGACCCTGAGAAACACGAGGCCATCAGAATGTCTATTGGCAGAGTTGGTGAGATGTGCAGGGATTTCCAATTAGATGTGAATGAAATGTGTGCGGGCAACAGAGGCTGGCAGCTTTGCGTGGGCGCTTCTGCCTGTTCCTGCAGCAGCAGTCAGGACACTTGTTGTATGTTAGGTATCTTGTAGCACGATTCTAATTGGTATTAGTAATAAAAATTAGAGTCAGCTATCAGAAGTTGAACGCTGAAGGATCGGAAAAGTGGAACGGCCAGTCCCTAGAGTTCTTATCTCTGCCAATGCTCAGACCAAAGGGGGGATCCTGTCCTCAGACTGCCTCCAAGACTGACTGCCTCAAACTTGCTGGACTTCTCAGACTTCATTGAGCTCCTGTCTCCTCCCACCTTATATTCCTCTCTCAACCCATCCATATTACTCCTGTCTCCGTCTCACTAGTACTGGGATTAAAGGCATGGGATCCTAAGTGCTGGGATGAATTCCCTTTGTGTGAACTATGTTTCTCTTTTAGAATGGATCAAATGTGTAGCCCAGGGTGGCCTTGAGTTAACAGAGATCCATCTGTCCCCCCCCCAAGTCCTGGGATTAAAGATGTGTGTTACTACTGCCTGGCCTCTAGTGGCTTCGCTTTGCACTCTGATCTTCAGGCAAGCTTTATTTGTTAAAATACAAAAAAATATCACTACAATATCCAACCCTCCTGTTATTATTTGGTTATGCTTACTATAATTGTGCAATAAACCCTTCAGATATAAAGACTCATTGTAGTCACATAATGTAGGTATTGCTTTTTCTGCTTCTCAAGAAAGTTGGTGATGAACATATGAAAATCAGAATGTTTATCCTGTATACCACACAGACCTTAACATAGTCATCACTAAACAAAACTAACCAGGAGACAGATACCTGCTGAAGAAGCAGCAACATTCACGGGAGAAAACATTAGTCATCGTTTTAAAAAGATTGATCAAGACAGGTGATAGTACACGCAGAGCTGCTCAAAGCGTGTTTACAAACCATCCCAAAGATTGTTCACGTACATCAGATAACAGCTGCTCTCCACTGATTTCTGGCAAATTTATTTCCAAAGTTCCTTGATCCTATAAAGCATATAAAAACAATGGCTACTAGTGAGGTGACACATCAATAAAGGTTTTGATGGGTGTGTCAGTTAATAGAGAAAACAAATATGGAATGTCAGTTCATTCTAGTAATAAATAATTTTTTAAATATTGCAGAACCAGAAATGAATTTGGGGGAATTTATTATTCAAAAATTGATTGACCTCATTGTAAGTATTACTATAGCCACATCTTAAAAAAACAGTATTGTAGGAGTTGAAGGGATGAATTAGCAGTTAAGGGCACACATTGCTTTTGCAGATGAATTACATTTCACTCATGTTCACAAGCACTGGTAACTTCAACTTCACCATCCCTACAATGGCTGTGGGCTGGTTTGTGAAGAGGCCTATGGAGTAGCATTGCAGTGTTTTAATTAAGCTATTCAGCAAACAGAAAAATTGGCTTCAGATTTTTGATGTCTACAGGTTGCAATTACAAAACTATATTATAAACAGAAAGGCAGTCGAATTTGCCCTTACCAAAACAAAGAATGAGCTTGGAATTAAACAATAAGAACGCATGTTGTATAAAATATTTTTGAAATTCTGTAAATGAACTTTCGAACACTTGACTCGTGAAAAGAAGCTTTGGAAGGAACACTTCTAGTTTATTTCATTTCACCTTTTAGGTTGGGTCTCATTCCATAGCCCATGATGGCCTGGCAATCATTACGATCCCCCTGTCTCATCCCCTGAATGTTGGGATCACATTCATGAGCCACCATGCTTGGCTTGATGTTCTTCTTTAACATGCTAAAATTATATTTTGCACTAGATTTTACAATATCACACTTTGAAAAATCATAGATAGAAAAAAATTAGTAAGTTTTTTCACTTATAAAAAGAAAGAAAAGAATCCAAACAAAGGTAAAAGACAGAAATTTCAGAAGTATTTCAGCTCAAATAAATACACCTTTAAATAGGGTATGTATATACAATTGGAATTTTGACATCTTCCATTTATCAGAATATTCTGAGCTTATTGGATGTTTCTATATTTACAAAATATTTTCCG